AGTATTAGTTTTTAGTATTTTCTTATGCACACGCGGCGACATAACGGTGCCGCTTACACTCTTTGGTCTCTTTATTTTGATTTGTTTTTTTTTTTTTTTTTTTACTTTTAAAGAAATCACTTTGACTGTTTTCCAATTAAGTGATGGATACACGCGCGTTCTGCTTGAGTGCTCACACCCGACTGTTATATTTTTATAATTTGATTTTTTACCTTTTAAAATATTCTTAGTTATTGGCGTAGACACCGTTACACGGTTATAATAGAGTTAACAACAGCGCGCCTGTGGTTTCCACTTTTCGAAATTTGCCATCAATTCGAGGGTGTATAGAGTTGGATTTCGAAGTTGACATTGTTGTTGGTGTTAAAACTGGTTTCAATATAGACGAAATTATCTACGACTTCTAAGTTATGACTGTTGGAGCCAACTCTCCTGCGGGTAGGGGGGACCCCCCTTGGGTGGGGGGAAACCGAATATACCCGTGGTAAGGCATGCCTGTCGTAAGAGGCGACTAAAATCCTAATGCACTATGTCTGACATTTCAGGTCTTTGTTTAAATGTCAGCATGGTCAAAAGTCAGAGTAAGTGCTATAATATTTAGCTTGAATACCATTCTAAACTTCATATTATAATTAATATAAGGCATTGTCGGTACATCTCAAGCGACAATTCACATACGGTTGGGTTCTTAAGAATTCTTAGGAATTCTTGGGGGCTCAACTGGCAGTAGCGAAAGCTACAAGTCACACCAAAGATTAAAACATGGTACCACGGGGAGTAGTTAGCCCTTGGAGGAAACTCCAATCTGCTCATTGAGTTTTTGGTCCTTTGTGGAGACTCGTGATGGCTGTGGTTTAAACCTAAATGCAGGAAGGGCATTTAGTCCGGTGTGTAGTCGCACTGCGGCCGGGTGCCGGACCCAGAGTACGGYAGAGGTTTTAGATGGGTCTCGTACCCGACCAAGGTGGCTAGGGTGTTTTACGTCCACCCAAACCAATTGGATCCAAAGTATAAGTGTATGTGGCGGCACTCATGCTTTGGTTCTCCAGAGTATGGTGCAGGTGCTTTGGGGCGCTGATCAACGCATTGATCTATGTGCTTCTAGCAATAGAAAGCACCGTGGGGTTGGACCTTCGCAGGAAGTAACTCACGTTAAGCCCCAACGGACTCTGTTGGAGCCCAGTCGTGTGTGCGGCGACTGCTTGTTTGATGATAGTAGATATTTCGTCCAGAGAAAGCAGAACCAATGGCGCGGATGTTGAAGCCAATAGTACCAATATCATCGGCGTACGCTCTTATAAAATATTGTACCTGCTCGATTAAGTTCTGCAGCTCGAGTTATTTTCGGAGAGTTCCTTCTCGATCCTGACGGAGGGTTTGATATTGTTCAACGTCAGTTTACACAGCCATATTAGTTTTTGCAGGGCTTCCAAATTCAGACTTAGCGGCCTAGAGGCAGCTCTTTTCGTGCCGTCAAATGCAGCTTTAAAATCGACAAAAAGGTGGTGTGTGTCGATCCTCTTTTCACGGGTATTTTCCAAGATTTGGCGTATGGGGAATAACAGGTCGGTTGTTGATTTTCCAGGTCTATATAACCTTATATACGATGTTCAGGAGGCTGGGTGCAGATTGCGGGGTCTCCTTTTTTGTGTTAAATTCCAATCGGCGGGCATGCTTTCATCAAAACTTTTTGCAAAGCTAGTTAAAAATGTCACTAAATCATAGGAAGGATATTTTAGCTGGACATATGGAAAAGACTGAACCAGGGGTGGGCAGCCGACTACTTTCACACTAAGTTTCGTAACTTCCAAATCACTCTACCATTTCTATAATAAGTGCAAATGGCTTTCTAATAGAACAAGCAGCAAAGGTTAAAAAACGCAACTTTTACTTCATACATGTCAACTTTGTGTAGCACATTTTACATTTTTGTTATGAATGTTCTTTTTTTACGATCACAACTGTATATTGTATATCCATTTTTACAAGTCACAGCGCTTCCAGTGTAGTCATTGAGTGCCATTACCCGCCTAAGGGGCACGACGCTGATTGCGACATTCAAGTGTCTGTTCGTTGTCGGAGCCTTGACTGCAACAATTGCCCTTATTCTTTACGCTTGCGCACTTCATGCACTCTGCCTTCTGCGCCTCATCATCTCTGCGCCGCTGCTATGCTTCATATTTGTGTGTATATGTGTAATAGATTATTATTTCTTTATCCCATTTTTTATGCCTCACCTCACATTCCGACGTTGTCGCCGCGTTCTAGACACTACCTCAGCGCATTTACCGTGTCTAACCTCTTTGCGGCCGCATTGTTGCTGGTCTGTGGTTTACTTTTCAATTGTTGTTCTTTTGTGGCTGCACTGCTTGCGCCCTTTCTTTGAGATCGCTATCGTGTGTATGTTTGTAACATAATTATAAGCGTGTCTTCTATTTGAGAGCATACTTTCTAGTGTTGCTTTCTGGAACGAACTTTTTTATTTTTTTTAATTTCTCACATTTTTTTTTGTTGACTTGTCTGTATTTGTTTTCTTTAACGCTTTATTTATTCTAAAAATATTTAATACAAAGCTTTTCAGTTGCACAAATGTTTACAAAGCGTACACACTCACATACATACACATCTCACTATGCGCCCGAAAAACTTCACTACTGATTGCTTTTCTTCATTGCTGCCAGCTTAATTTTCTTTCATTCTGCTGGTTGATTTTGATGTCTTTTCTCCAAATTGTTTTAATTTCGGGTATGTGTGTGCGTGTGAGTAGCTGGGAAATAAAAATAAAAATCAATTTTGTTTTCATTTTCCATCACAAATAAATAATTATCCACTACAAAAATTAAGTTTTGTGAATCCACTACCACAACACGTTTCGCTTTTACCCGCTGTGCACACAAACATCTACACACACACACACGCTTGCCTTCATTTCGCCCAATTTGTGTTAAACAATTTGTATAGGAAGTATTTTCGCCTTAGCATGGGTCTTGTTTGCTTGATTGCTATCATTTCAGACTCATTGATATCCAACAGTTAATGTTATTATTTGTTATTTTTTCTTGTTTTTGTACGCAATGAGCAGAAAGTGAAAAACTCTCACTTTGATTTGTAAAATTTGTTTTGCCTTTTCATTTAATCGTAGCTAGTTGAGTATTACTATAAAAATAGATCACCTGCTTTACCCGGAAGTTGATTTGTAGAATATATAACTGTCTCTAATTTATTATATCTATATGTATAAAAAGGTAAGTTCAGTCGCTGGAATTCACAAACATATGTATGAAGCGATTGGCTAACGAATTTGACTGTTTGCAGTAAAGGTTTTAAGAGCTTCACCTTAATTGCAAAAAAAAATTGTCTTTAATATTTTGTGAACTTTAGCCGATAGTTATTCTACCGGTTAACTTTTCTCAAAATTTCTTTCTTTCTCGATCACGTGTGAGTTGTGTCAAGCTGTTATTATTGTTCAATATTGTTTGGTATTTCATCATGGAAAGACTTACGCTTGAACAACGTTTACAAGTCATTTATTTTTATTTTACGAAAATTGACGTTCTGTAAAAAATCTGTTTCGCGCGCTTCGCTCGAACTTATGGTCAACATAATCGGCTTAACGAGCGTATTTTTCATAGCACCATCATCCATAGTAAAACCCAGAATTCATTAATGAATAATATTCGACCAATAATAGACCACGTTCAGCAGATGTCCAGTGCAGAAAATATAACAGCCATAGTTGAGCGATTATACGAACACCGTGGAGTTCGCAGCGTACTTTACAGTAACTCGGACTAACGTATATAACGAATAGGCTCACTTTACGTGAAAATCTTAAATTTCTCGACTTTTCAACCTACGACTTGCCTATCTGAAATCATAACATTCTTCCATCTTTCTGGCCATTTGCAGAAAAGCGTTTCTTAAAGGTTTCACCTGGTTTAATTAGTTCATAATATAGCGCAAATTTCTGAGTCCACCAAATACAGAGAATTTCAATGGCGTTATGGATATTCAGCTTAGCTATTGATTTGGCCAGGTTTCACCCATACATTTTTGCTTTTGGATTGTCATAATCCATGTCAATGCCATTTTTTTTCTCCGGCCCCAAACCGATGCAAAAGTGATTTCATTTTGTAGTGCTCAAGCAGCATTTCTGACAAGCAAAATCGTATTTCAGCTACTTCCTTGCTTTTGAATGCCCATGCTTGTAAACACTTTGAAAGAGATGTTGTGTATCTTCCAAAAATTCGCTAGCTCTTTTTGTGTCTCGTATTAATCTTCACCGAGTAGTGCCACCAGCTCTTCATCTTCAAACTTTTTTTGGTCGCCCAGGACGTTCTTCGTCCTCTAAATATCCAACTTAAAAATTTTCTATTGTTTTCTGCTAAACTGAGCAGTAGTTTCTTCTCAAAAAGTAGTTTCTCACAACTCACTTTGCCCTCACTTTTTAATGTCACGTGATTCGTGGCTCTTCCTGGCTTGTTATCTGCGTTTCCAGTTTCTCCATAATGCTCTATACCATATATAACTCGTATTTAAATACTTTACAGTTTTTCTTATAGTCTAAAAAAAACTAAATCGTCTAGCATTTTATTTCAGGATAATCTAACTATCTAACGGGTATTTATGCCGTAATAACATCAAATCTTTGAGCGCATTGCTTATAAAAGCAAAAAACTATGAAATCGGGTAGAATATTATCCAATTTATATAAACATCATTCATTGCCTATAAACCGTTAAATTTCCATTAATGTTTTTTGTAATAAAATTGAAATTAATTTCTCCATATTTTACCATAAAGCCTAATCGCTAACCATTTCACTTTTATGTCTTCACAGGTTAGCAATAAAATCACAATGAATACGCGATAAACTCGTAAGTTTTGTATTTCATTTAACATTTATTACTTTATTTAATATATTCAAATATAATCAGCACTTGCTTCGTTTTACAAATATTAAATATTTATCGTTAAAAGAAACAAAAGCAGAGGAGTTTTAGATAATGAATGGTTTATTGAGCATTGTTTCCATATTAAGCAATTTTAAGTGAATGGCCAATGGCTCGAAAATCCCACCAAAATTTAAACTCTCGGCAAAGATCAGGGCAAAAACTACCCATTAAAACACGGGTCATCTGTTATAAGAGAAATAATGAGAAAAATTGTTGAAACTGCTTCAAAAAAAACCAAGAAATATCGGTGAAGCGCTTTGGACCTTTCACAAATCTGGCGGCGCGAATGATTTTAATTCCTGCCAATTTGCTTAAATATATGATCGAATGTGTGTCATTCAAGATGTTTCGACTTGCGTTTCGGAAAAACAGGAGTTCAGAAGAATATACCCAGATAATTCTATTTCGAATTCTTCAAGAAAACTTTCACAATTGGCGTTCATTAAAATGTTTAGTCTCACAACTAGAGATAGGGATGTGAAATTTCCCATACGGCTGCCATTCAAACTGACCGATCAAAATCAAGCTAAACAAATTGTTCCTTAATAAGGCACCTTAATTCGACTTGATCGTTGATTTTTATACCCCGAACAGGGTATATTAAATTTGTCACGAAGTTTGTAACACCCAGAAGGAAGCGTCGGAGATCCTATAAAGTATGTGTATAAGATAAATGATCAGTATGTTGAGCTGAGTCGATTTAGCGATGTCCGTCTGTGTGTCCGTCTGTCTGTATATATACGAACTAGTCCCTAAGTTTTTAAGATATCGTTTTGAAATTTTGAAAACGTCGTTAGAAAACTTTCACATTTGGCAATGCATCTTCGCAAAAATTGATACAGGTTATTTTCTAAGATAATAATATAATCTCCGAAGAAATTGTTCAGATCGGTTAATTATAGCATATAGCTGCCATACAAACTGAATGATCGGAATCAAATGCTATATATATATCTTGACGAAATTTGGTATGAGTTATTGTCCATAGAAATAATGTAATATCGGAAAAAATTGTTCAGATTGGCTCACTATAGCATATAGTTCCCATACAAACGGAACGATCGGAATCAATTGCTTGTATAGAAAACTTCCGCATTTGACATGGATTACTGGAATAATGGCAATTGTTTAGTTCGATTTACTGTTGCATATAGCTTCCATACAAACTGAACATATAGCTACTTAAAGAAATGAAACTGCGAAGGGTATATTAGATTCGCTGCAGCCGAAGTTAACGTTTTTTCTTGTTTCCACTGAAGTTGCCGAAGTACTATTATTTGAAATCATAAAATAAGTTCCGTACATTTTTCGGCAATTAAGAATTGATTAATGTAATTAAGAAGAGAAATGCGGAAATACTTAGCCTAAGTAAAACTATTACCGTACCCACGTCTTCTGCGTTGAATTAATTTAGCTATAAACATAATTATATTGCATAAGAAATATAAATATATGTCAGTTTAACAATAAAATTTCTTAAACGCTGTATGTAAGTAGCGTAAATATTAGGAAATGCTCGCGGCAAAAAGCAACAAAGTGTGCACACAAAATTGCCTAATGGCAGATTTGATTATACTTTTCGCTGCTTAAGATAATCGAAAACTTTACGAGTAAATAACTGGATCTAAATATGTATAGTATATAAAATTGCAGTAAAAGCGCACTTCAGGTGTAGTTATGTACATATGTATGGATGTATGTTTGTTAGTGCATACTACAAATTTTTATTGCAGGATTATGTAGCTTGGCTGCATGCAAAAACGTTATTAATTGCGGAAAAGTTCAGTGACTGCCAATTGCGAATTTGTCAGCCGTTGCAGTTTATCCAATTTATATAAGCGAGTGCGGAAATCAAACGCCTGAGGTTGGTGCAATTCAAATCACTCCAATTTCAGTTCAGCAAAGTGTTACCATTAATTATAGACTCTAAATACCTGTCCATGAATTGTTTGGTTTCCTGTTTCTGATTTCGTTTGCTACATTACATTACACAGCTGTATCATATGTATAGTATATATGAATATAAAAATGTATTTAAATTTGACTTTGGTAAGGTATCAAATTACATTTTCAGCGCCTAAAGAATTTTTCTCAGCTGAAAAGTCTTTAGACATAGAGGTAGAGCTAATGTAAGTGTAAGTGTTAAATGACTTGTTCTTGTAAAAATATAGGGGAATAAACCTATAAAATTATTGAATAAAATTAATGAGAATAGAGAAACAAAGGTAAAAGTTGATCCTGAGTGCCCTGACGGACCTAAAAGAGTTTTGAATTCTTTATGAAGTGTTATAAGAATTGTTTTAGGGGGTTTAATAACTTTAACATACTGAGGTCTCTGCGGTTCTTACACTTTGATAATTGCCCATGGACTGAGAGTAATATCTCTGTATCCGTAAGATGGCACAAATGATAAACACAAGGTAAAGCTAACACCAGCTAATCAGCACTTAACTGACAGATGGCTGTTGGCTCCACATTGACAAAATGCCCCTAAGCCTGCAGCTATACAATCCTTATATCCATAGCGCTCCCCATTCAACAATTATATCTCATTTTTTTTTGATTCTGTTGCGATCTTTGCAATCTTCAGTGAATTATTTCACTATTTTGTATTTATTAATCTATTTGTGAAGACATTGAAAATGGTATATGTGCTGAAATAGTATTTTTTCTTGTAAATATTCTAATTCTTCAAAGTATGCAATAGATAGGATGAGTGTTATTGGTAGTGCTAAGCATAACGATATCATTGTTTTTAGATCAGAAATGTTTATTTCTTTCTATTTTTATTTTCAACTAAGATTTTTTCATATAAAGTGTACTATACACGACCTCGTTAATGAACTCAGCCTATGACAGTGCGACTGAGGATATCCATACGGTCAAATGTTGACCTACTAAATATTTTACTTTAAATAAATTTTCCAAAACTTATATAATTATATATATTATAGCTTCTTTTAAGGTGTTAAAAAATTATGTTTGTTGCTGAATATTTTTTGAAATTGGTTAAATTAGTTTAAAGCTCGTTTTAAGAACTTGAACAAAATAGTCAACATAGTTTTCGAATGGAGTAAATTCCATAATATTATAATATGCTACAAATGAATTGTCAGACTTTTATTACTGATTATTGCGTTTGTGTTTGTTTACTGATCACTTTTCTTTCTCCTTTGTTCACACATATGTTTGCTATAATGATTTCCTTATTGTGGACGTAATACAAAATATATATTTGTAGATTTTTAGTTTTCTTCTTTTTCTTATTTCTTGGAATTCAAATTATACAAATGACTTACCTTTATTCCTCTAATCTTATTTAAATTCTAAATCAACAGACGCATCGATTGGATTTTAGTATGCTAATCACGTCGCTCTCCAACTCAACGCCAAGTCGAAAACTCATTGATCTTCCTTACTAAGCATTACCCAGTAAGCTTTTTAGTTTGAGAACCACTTAAGTCACTTGTGATATTAAGTAGCTTTCTGACAAAATTTATGAAACAAAACAAGTAAGGAATGGCTACCCGAACATTTTATACTCTCGCAACTTACAAGAATCAGAGCCCGGGAAATTGCCTCAGGAAAATATGGTAATGGGGGGTAGTATGGACCTGATTAAATTTTTTTTGCTTTGCCATTACTACATACATTAACATGTCACATACTAAAAACATTTTTCCCTGGGTTTCATTAAGGTACCTCATATGCGTTCACCAAGCATCCGGAGAAAAGTCAGCCAGAGGTTCGAAATTTCTGATATTAGTTATATAAGGAAGTTAGATCAAGTTTTCGCCCGATTTTATCAATTTTAGGCACAAAGAAACGCTGTTATGAGTAAAATACGCTCTCTCATTGTCATTGAGTAACTCACATATTGATCGACATATGGGGTATAAAGTCACCGGAAGTTTGAAAATCTCCAAATTAGGTATACGAGGGCTCAGGGAAATATTGACCCCATTGAAGCCATTTTTGATACACAGAAGTACCATTGGATGGAAAATATTCTCTCTGAATTGCTATTATATATCCTAAACATTGGCCTTCGGTGAAAAGTTAACTATAGATATATACATAGATCCACATATTCGATACCTAAGAGCTTGAACAGTTTTGGTTGAATCTAGACAACTTTTGGTCATAAGATGGCACACTTTAAAGGAATTATTATATTTTATTACCTTATATCAATCGCATCTTTAATTTTTATATTGGAAAGTGAAAGTGATTGTACTCCGATTTCGCCCATTTTCGCACTGTCGGTCAGTCGGGTTCCGAGATATGTGATTTCATCTAAAAGTAGACAGTGCCACTCTCATCGAAGAATTTTTACATCGGCTCCTCTAAAGCCGGCTCATACCATCTCGAATGTAAAATTAAATTTCTCTGGTTATTAATTTATCGCACTTTTAGTAGTTTTTAACAGTACCGTCGTATAAGGAACGAAGGGGTTATTCTCCTAATTCATCCATTTTCACACTGTCGGTAGGAATTCTTCAAATATTCTAAAAATTCGAATTTGTTTTTTGAAGGTTTAGTGGTTTAGGATTTATGTATTGAACTTATTGGAGGGCGGGACCATGTTCACTTTTTAAAAATCAATTTCTCAATATTATGGGAGCAAATGAATATATAAGGTTTGAGATGATGTATAATATTAACGAATTTTGTTGTGTTTACGGGGTACAAGTTAGAATATCAACAAATACATACATACGTACATTATTCCATTAACTTTTATAGTCAGTAAACTAACATAATCATGCGATATGTGGCTCCTATAGATTTTGCTTTTATCATAGAACATTTCCAATTTACACATACAATGTATGTGTATGTAGGTTCAGATAAAAAGTCTATTTCAAAGGCGTACGCAACTTTTGTTGCTGCCATCAAGAGCTTTGTAATAAATATCACAG